TTGACAGTGAGCATCAGTTATCAAAGCAATGGGGATTCAAACCCATATTTATCAGATACCCCCATTATTTTCCCAGTTATTGTTTTCAGATTTTGAATTTTTACAAGATAAAGGTGGCAACGTGTTGATGTAAGTATTTTTTTCATTTATATAATGTCTTGTATTAGGCATGTTTGATGTATCATATAGTAGGAGATGGAGAAGTGAAGAATGTCTAGAGAATGAACTAGTTATGTTTATTTTGTTATTCAGATAAGGAAAGTGGCCGAGTGATGGAGTTTGAAGCTGATAATGATGTTTATTTCTACTATCTCTGAAGAGGTAAATCATGACTGTATGCTTGTTAGTGTTTTAATGGTGGGTGATAATACTATAGTTGCATTTAAATGTTATCGAGTGTACCCAGATATTTCGTAAGGGATTAGCTTACTCACCTATTATTACCTAAGTAATATTAATTAAAGTGGCTATTTTAGAAAGCATACTCCCAAAATGGCGTGTAATTTCTTCCCAAAACAGTACCACATTGCACCATTACTGATCCTACAAATGTTGATATTTCAGGGCTGCTCACTTGGATATGGTATATAGACTCATTACTTGTAACCAGTTTATTGATTTACTCACCTTATATGGTTCCAGTATAAAGAGACAGCGAACTGTACTTTYGTACTAGAATTTTGTAAGAACTGATATTCACCTTAATGGTTCCTGTATTAAGAGACAATGAACTGTACATTACATGCTTGGATACCAGAAATGACATCCCTCAAAAGTATTGTTCACCTTTATGGTTCCTGTCTGGTCATCGAGTCTGCAGGGAGTTCAAGGAAAACTGTGAGTCTGTTCTAATTTATTGTTATTGTTGCTGTTTCGGCCTTCATTCCAATTGGCTTCCATTTTTTCGGTCGTTTTTTTTCGGTCACGAATTTGGGTTATTTTGGTTGCGATTTTTCTCTCGTATGATCGTGTTGTGTGTGGATTCGATATAAGAATTTACTGTTTAAGCTGGATAWTTTTTGATACTTTTTAGGCGTAGTTTTAGGTTTTATTCGATCGATGCTACTTGTTCTAGGGACTGGAGATCTTCGGATATTTCCACATAGTCTTATGAAGTACATAGGATAGCATTTTTTTCGGGAGATTTTTTCGGATATCTCCGTTGTCTTTGAGTCGATAGGATTTTTTACGATTCGGCTTTAGGTTGCGCTCTTTTTAGTATTTGGAGATTTTTCTGATATTTCCGATTTTAGGCCATTTTTTCCGTATTTCAAATAGGACTTTTTTTCCGGCTGATTTTCGGTAGCATGTGTATTGGATTTAGACAGTATAGATAGTTTAGAATGGTTGTAATCAGGCAGTTGTCAGTTCCCTATGGCTTGGTGGCTCTTCCCCTTTGTTCGCTCTGGGTTTAATTAATGTGGGTTAAGGGTTTGGACAGAATTTTATTGAATAAAAATGAAATAAAGACAGCGTTTGCGCGCGCGCTTCGAGTGTGTGTGTCGGTTAGTTGTGGAGTAATCCCTACCTTGCCGCTGTTAGTTGGTACCGCTTGTATTCGGCTAATGGTGATGATCCCCTGAAAACTTAGTCTATACGACCTTGCCTGAATTCTTCTAAGGCTTGTGATTTGTCGGCTTCACAACACCCCAATTGGACACCCCTCTGTTGGTTTATACAGAGTGGGAAAATCCGCTACGATGAACGGTAGCCTCCACGTGGCGTAGCGGGGAAGTAATTGTCATGGCAACCAGTATGCTTAAAATTGATTGGCTCTCCGTTTTGGGTTCACAAAAACAAGATGAACGGYGATACTTGGAAAATTTGACATTTGAAAATAATAGTAATTCTTTTGCTTTCCTACAATCAGGTTAAACTAAAACGTTTAAAGGCAAAGCATTCATTTGCAGTATTGTAAAGTCATACTGGTAGATAGCAACATGGCAGTTATTACGAATAACCGTTCACCTTAAACGTATATAGCGCGCGTACATCTGAGRATTTCTCTTCCCCGGCCCACCCACCCAATTCAGTGGTGTAAGAATGCACGCATAACTACTCCAAACCGCAGGTATCCYAGTACTTTGTGCATGGATGTAGTTTTGAGGACTGGGTGTGATTCCCAGCTGAGGGGAGTCGGGTTAGAGAAATGTTTTTTTTAAAAGCTGTATATTTTAAGAAATGCTATAAAATGTCAGGGGTTATGACAATGGTAGACTATGTAAGATTAATGCGAATCAAGGTTGGCGTAGCAGTGTTCGCAGAACCTAACATACAAAAACATGATCCCGAAATAGCTTTTCCGTAGTTCAGTTGAGAACGTGTTGCATGATGGACTGTTTTAGGGGACGCTTTAATACTTGTATGGCATCATTTTAGCTTGCTGATAGTAAAAAGTGATAGGATACCTTAATTGATGCGTTATTTTAAAAAATTCTTTCCTTTTTTGATTTCATTCCTTTCTTGATTTCGTTCCTTGTCTATTCAACTGAAAAGCCCCGATTATGCAACGCATTTCTACAGTGGCTCTGGATCTGGAAAGGCTACTCAGAGTTAGACGCACGTGCCCTGACTCGCATTTCAGCCAAGGGGTTGTTTCAGGGTATAGAGGATTTGCACCTTCACTTGACTGCAGCCATGTTAGATGGCAGAAACAATACAATCATTTTACACGAGAAAGAACTCCATTTCCGAGAGCAAAGGGATTTTATTGTTCTGCCATCTAACCACAGGCAGTCCAAGCTGTATTATGGGCACCGACAGGTGATGGTTGCAAAACCTCTATTGATAAAATTTGAAGGTTTTTTTAAAAAGTTAGTGGTGTGGAACGGCCCTTTTTTACAAATCAAATATACTCGAAGGTGCAACAGTCATCATGGAAGATAACGTGCCCTCTTTAAGATAAGAAGTGAACGTGATTTTTTAAAATAACCTTTGTTTTTTACGCTTATCTTTTTTTGGTAAGTCAACACGTAATTTATAAATTGACGTTGAATTGACGCATGACATTGATTGCATCAGTRTTCATAGAAGGTATACGTGACATCGTTTATTATAATTATACTAAAACTTTTGTTTGTTTTTTATGAAGCTTATAGGTCAATAAAAGCCAACGCATGAATTTAAGTCAAAAGGCCTAGTCATGTAGACTTTTGACAGCGTCCTAGATAGGAGAGATTTCAGTTCTGCATGATGATGTATTTTTTTTCGATAAAATCGTTTTTCCAATGCATTCTTAGACGAGGTTTCATAACACAATGACCATAATCTATGGGCTGTTGTCATACGCACCTGTTTCAAAAACATTTTTGTTGGAGATCTGAAACCTGAGACCGAGTAAAACACTGCAAATTGTAATATATTTACAGCCAAACAACGTAGTTTCCTTTTAGATTGGAATATGAAGCATGACCTTTGAGTCAGAAATGTGATTTTGAAATCGATTTTTCGCCAGCAATCATAAAGGCAAAAAAATTCTGTTTAGTCTCAGATCGCGTTTTGACCAACCAACATCGTTAACTGGGTATTTCAGAAATTACAAGGTTATCTCTCATATCTATCTTTTCTTCACTGATAATTTTACGGGTTGGAGGGCTCAGTGGAATTTTTTATGGCGGGGGGGGGGGGGGGGGGGTTAATTTTAAACAAGATTTTAAAATGAGAAATGCATTGTATAGTCAACCAACCATTATGGTGGCTGTGAATAACATGCACCCCAGGAATGGAGGTCAACCAAATTGATTTGGAAATAAGTGCGTTAATTCTTGCCATTAATCTATTAATAATGGGACATGTGGATACGCAAAGCGTAGAAACCAGTTGTTATGAGTGGGTCTAAATATTCTAATGTGTTACTCATTCATTCACTCACTCACTCACTCACTAAGGTGTTAGCAGATCATTTTTTACAAACACTCTTATCCAATAAAGCTTGAGTAGCTTGCTCTATCAGTATATCGGGAGCTGCAATTTCACGGTGTGGGATGGCGTACAAAAATCAGCAAAACAACAACGACTGACATAGACCCCCTCGATGAGCGTTAAGCTCTTGGGATTAATGTAACGACAAAATATGTTTAAATAAAAATCAAAATTAAAAAAAACAAAAACAATAAAAACAAAAAAACAAAAAAAAAAAAACTGTCATTCTTATTATGACTTGAATGAAGACAAGGACCAAGGAGCACCCTAAGAAGTGGGGGCTAATATTGGAAAATATATGAGACTATAGTAGACTATAGTATGGAAAAGGTAAAGTGGGGGGGCTATCCGCGGTCCCTGGAAGAGAAGTTGAATAACATTTCTAAACGAATTTTTATAGAATATCCGCTTATTTCACAGTGTAAGTAAATAGTTTCTAAGTGAATCATGCATGTCAGACGAAAAAATCAATGAGAAGGTCAAGATATAAGAAGACATTAAAACTCAACGCTCTTGTCAGCTGGACGTAGGAGCACAAGGAACCCAATTAAAAGTCGGCACGTAGGATGATTTAGAGGTATCCACGAGTTTGCCATGCATGCGGCTGTTTTATTTGAATTCGTAAAAATGTCCTTCTCCAACCTCCAACCCGTACCCTTCTCTTTGTTTACGATTTAGGAATGACTTTAAATGCACAGCCGGTTTTTCCGGAAAGTTCAAACGAGATGACCATGACATAGCGTCTATAGTGTTCAAAGAATGCAAAAAAGGATTGCTCTGGTATTTCAGTTGCGCTTTTTTGGAATGGCTTATTGACTGCTTGCTGGGGGTGCAGATTAAGATGTCACGATTTTTAACATTTTTGTCCAAAACATGGCTTCGGAAGTAACAGAGAGTCTTGCCTGAGTATCAGGCCCAGATCAGGCCTTTCAGCGATCTCGCTCCTGCCACTGTATCGAGGTTTGATCAGTATCATTGTAAGATTCTAATTTGTACCAGCGAAGTCTATGAACTACAAATTGGTCGAAATTATCAGCTCAGGTCATCTATGTCTTTAAAAATACCGGGGGACTGACAAAAAACATAAAAACTAATCATCTGATTACAACGATCTGGTGCCATGTAATACTAGGAATGTTTTACCTCTGTTAACACTTTCAAGACAACGACGCTATTTAACTGGTCACAAAAGAGTGTTCGTTAATCAGTGACAATAATCAGTAAACCTATAACTCAACCGGTACGGCTTGTTATATCCAGAAGGTTTAGAAGACGTCTCTTGGGTCAAGAAGTTTGCCACAATTTTCTTTAAAGAAAAACAAAGTTACAAGTCTTTTAATACAAGAATTGAGAGCTATTGGTAAGTTCTTTAGATTCCCTTCTAACTATTCTATTGGAGCATTTTAAAAATCTTAATACTCGTACAAGAGGTAATTAGAAAATTTGATCCCGACTTGTGAATATATTGACCTCGTTCGACCGTTTAGATTTGCCTTTTCTTTTCGCATTTTCCTTGCTCGAAAATTATTGTGATAGGATTTTTGACCTCGTTTTTGCTTCTCACATTTAAATGTGCTTTTTCGTGCAGTTTAAGGTAGTGTCAACCCGTTGTTTGCAAAGTTAAAAGGGCTTGAATTCACTGACATGCAATAAATTGAGGCAATTCAAAAATACAATGTCCAACGTTGCAAGCCTAAGAGCCGGTTCCTGTGTTTTTAGTTCTCACACTGTTTTAGCTAAAGTGGTTTTAATTTAGCATCCATCAATACTTGAAGGTTTTTCTTCTTTCGTGAACAGAGACCCTTGGAGCGATAGGAGGGTGTGGAACCTCTGGCTTAGCCAGGATGCTACCCAATGGGGAGGGGATAGAAAATGTCTATGTGCAGGCTAAGTAAAGCTAGCCTGCTTGAAGCCGGACTTTTCTCTTGTATAGTTAACAGTTAGTTAGTTCGGCTGCATGCAGGCTAAGTAAAGCCTTTCGAATTCACAGCAAGCACGTCGTAGGGAAAAGCAAAAAAAAAAAAAAAAAAAAAAAAAAAAAAAACTCTAGTCATGCAAAAATGTTACATCATTAATGACCTACAACATGATTGCCATAAGATCCCTTGTATAATCCTGGATATGATGTCAAAAGTACGCTTTGTGTTTCCTAAGCCGATCACGTAGATCTTAGAATAAAAACGTGAAGGTAGCCTCGTAACTAATGTAAACAAAGTACCAAGTAAAGAAGAGTGCATCAAAAATGTGCCAACGTGTTTCTTGTGCGCTATATCTGTCAATGAGTAATTACGCAGTTATTCAACGCGTTTTCTGCATACTCTAGCAGCGGGTGCTAAGAACTCGGTCTACTACTTCTAGGCCGCGCAGGAATCAAATCTCGTCATAAATAGTTAATATTCTGTATGAGAGATTCGTGCAGCAGTTCACATTTCGAGAGTAATCCATGGAAGGAACAAGGGGATACTCTCTCTTCTTTAAAATATTCAAAAAACCATCATCACAAAGTACAATAATGATTGGTAAGAGAATTGTGTGTAGCAATACGCATTTCGTGGTCGAAAGATTTGTGGCTAGTATCGATGTGACTTGAACTAATCTTTAAACAGACCTATTTAACATGCCTGCCGTCGCACTAGGTAAATGCGCTAAAAGCATTGCTTGACATTTAATCTGTTGGCTTCCCCAATTTAAGAAATTTTAAAAACGCGCAAATGAAACGAAAATAAGTAACGGATACTATTAAGACGGAAGCGTTTCAACACACTTGAGAACAAAGCCATTCCCGATTTCACTGCAACACCAATTCAATGCTAATAGATTTTTTTGTAAAAAAATTGTTTTGTGTTTTAATTTAGGTATCAAGAAAATGAAACCACGTCTGTCCCAGMTTGGAAAAGAGATACTGGCTGAGTTTATGTCCACTTTTATTCTCATTGTAAGTCGTCAATTCTTTTAGTGMTTGTCAAATCATATTCCCATTGGTGTACAGTGCACGCCATGTATTCCTTAAACAATTACTAGCTTTGTAGCGCTTTTTAGTGATCGATTCCATTCACTCAGTCATGAACCCAACAAAGAAGCGTAGAGGTATTAGCATTTATTGCCGTTTGCATGTTTTCAGTGCTAAAGTAATATTACTTTGCCCGTGAAACAAAGTAGTATTTGTATTGTTTTGCTCTGCTTGCTCTGCATATTTGTAAAGTGATAGCCCGCAATCGGAAACAAATTGAT